TGAAATCCAATGTAGAATTATCCTGAGTTGGTTACAATAATTTTTGTCTTAGAAAGTTATCATCTCTACATTGTCGAAACTCGGGGGATGTTTTACTAGTGGCAGCATGAGGCCTCCAGCCTCTGCCTCCCAGACTGAAATCCCTCCTTATAATACAGTTTATCTTTCTACACATTATAGGTATGTGTCTGAGAGCTGTTCATCCTGTTCCTGGTCTAGTATCGAGGGGCAGGACGATGAGTTTTGGGGGGACTGTGTGTGTGTGTGTGTATGTGTGTGTGTGTGAGAGAGAGAGAGAGAGAGAGAGAGAGAGAGTTGGTGCCGGAGTGAGTGTGCCAACACACTGTCTCTTTAAGCTGAGCATTCAGGAGCCTGAACAGTGCTGGCAACTCCCAATTCAGACCCAGAGACACCAGAACAGACAAGCTCCCTCTGACCCCCAACCCAGCTCAGCAGAGACTGGGTACACAGGTCAGGGAAGGGATACCCCGATATCAGTGCCCCCCCCAAACACACACATCAGACAGGAGCTAATCTCCAGGTCGCCAGCTTAGCAAGGGGCGGCTCCATGGGCATGGAGGTGGAGAGGGGGCAGGAGCACGGCCGGCTGCAGACGGCAGTGGAGCAGGGCAATGCGGGAGGAGGGGCAGCACTGCTTCGGAGGAGTTACCTGGCTGGTCCAGCTGTCCCCCCTCCAGCTCAGTCTGTCCGCTCTCTCCAGATGCTGCTGCACCTGCCTGGCTCTAAGCCCCACTGGCTGTTGACTGGACAGGTGGGAGCGAGGTACCAGCATGGCACCCCATTGAGTGCCACGCCCTGGGCAGCAGCCTGGCCTACCCACCCCTAAGGCCAGCCCTGGAGACACCAGCTAGTGAGGAACCTCTATGGGGTCACCTACCAGCTGTATATAAAGCGATTCCCATTCTGCAGGCCCTGCAGCTGGGAGTCTCCTGCTATTGGAGCCGGGTTCATGCTCCTCTGATTGGATGAGCTAAATTTGCATTGTCTTATTGCAAGGGGGGATTGCTGGTGAGTGAGAGGTCTTGGGGAAACTGACTTCTTCAGGGCTGAGTCTCTTCAGCTGTTACACCAGGGGAGAAGGGTGGCTTACAGGAGCACATACGGGAAAAGATCACCCTGTGAGTGGGGAGAGGGGTTCACTCATGTGGCAGCTCACAGCTCCAACTATACACAGCCCTGATGCGCAGCAGTCTCTAGAAGTGTGTGGATTAAGGGCGGTGTCAGCCAATAAGTATATGTTAGGTGTTGTATAGATCACGTTATTGGGTGTTATGCGCACAGCATTAACATAGTTTGCAAGTGTTGGGAAGGTTTGTTAACTCAATGCTTTTCCCACAATTCTTTCCACCCATGTCGAGTGCCTCACTACATTTTGCACAGCTGACATCAGCTTTGGTATTAGAAAACAGGAGCGTATCACAGGGTCTATGTTTAGGGTTGGCAAAATTCAGTTGTTATTGTTTTTTATCATTTTGAAAGATAATCTCTCTGTTTTTAAGCATTTTTAATTTTTTTTTCAATTTACATTTCCACAATTTTGCATAAATATGGGATTTGTTTTTTTTTTTTTCAATTTTTATTGATCTAAATTTTCACAGTTGCAGGAAATTGGGGGGCAGGGTCAGACAATAAATATGTAATGACAGCAGACACGGAGATTCAAGAAGTTAAAGTTTTTTAATGGTTAAAACACAAATTGTTGATATCAGATGTAAAAATATACAAAGTGAAGAGTCTTAAATCAAATGCTCATATGGTTTCAAGCAGCCTGGCTGTAAATTTTGATTATCATCAATGGAACTATTTTTCATCAGTTTGTGTCTGTGTGTGATGGTTCTCAGGATAACTCTGGACTGCGAGTTATCTCGTTACCCCCTGCTTCAGTGAGAGGGAATCACTCTTGTGATGGCTGGTAGTCAGCTCCCTGAGACTACCTGCCCTTCAGCCACTCAAGTACTCTCCTCTGGGCTAGGCCAGCCCTGACTTCCCCTTGCAGGTTAACAATAGCTGTCCCCAAGACCCTTTGAATCAGTCACCTCTGATATACATCCCCTGACACTGGCTACTCACAGACATCCCAGATTCCCTGCCCCCGGAGGAGCAGTGTGCCCCCGTTTACTGGTTTTATCTTAAACTACCACTCCCGTATTACATGTGGCACATGTGAGCTCTTGTAATAAAAGAAAAGTCCGTTTATTTAAGGAAGAAAAAAGATTTAACAAGAAACAGGAGAGAGTGGCAGAAACAAATGGTGACAATGCAAAAGAAAATCATAAAATGGAAAGGTGGGTCTACAATTATCATTAATTACCTTTCTTATCTAATAAAATTGATTCTCAAACCCCACCCCTGCCCAACTTTCAGTCTGTTGCAGAGCTGGCTGGTTTCACAACAAATTTTCATGAAAACACTCTTACTCTGCAAAGCATTTACTCAGTGGATGGACACAGAGTGCTTCTCTTTCTCTGGGCTAGATTGAAAACAGCCTTTGGTTCTAGTCAAAGACAGGGCGAACCCCTGTCTAGCTGTAAAGGTGTTTTTTCCCCCCACTTTGCAGTGGTTTTGATTGTTTGTCATTGTCTCTGATGGTTTTTCATTCAAAGTCCTGGTATTGTGCAAGACTAAACAATTGAACCTTGCATTGCATCACCAGTCACACAGGGCGGGGTGACAACTCTTCCTTGCCTGAATGGACCATCATCGAGACACATTACTGCATCTCCTGGTTACTTATTTCTACTCCAAGCCCATAAAGCACACTGTCAATATGAATATGTTATTCCTTAAATATTACCTGTACATACTTCTCACAATGATTATGAATCTTGACAAGTTAGGAGCTTTCAGGTTACTTTGTATGGTTAAATATCCTGTAAGATTTGTGTTTGGTGTAGTGAGTTTGTCAGGGCTGTGGTGAGAATTGTTTTCAAAGAACAGGGAATCCCTTGCCAAGGGGTCTCTGTTTCACAGTGTGAATGGTGAAATTGACATTTATCGACATTTACTGATAAAATCTAATCTCTCCAAGTGTATCTATATCCTAGGACAGATACCTTCCTGGGCAACTGGTTTGGAATGTAGCATCCAAAACAGAGGTAAGATAAGGTACACAACAACAAGTTAATGAACTGGTGGGTTGGATCTTAAATGACACAGAAAGTGCTTTTTAACATATAAGCAACTGTGCTATAAATAGAAATTGTTTGGGGGGCATATTTTGAAGCACACCTACTGTATCAGATGGACTTGCTGCGAGATTAGAATAGCTTCCTAAAAGGAGGGGTATGTATGTCTCCCTTTCATAGTGTACTACTTTATCTTAGACCATAAAATTGGCCTCGTTTGGTTATTCGGTCTCTTGAACATTTTTTTATGATGAACCAGAGGTTTAATGCATTCATTGTCTATTCACATCACTCAGGACGCTAGATATACTGTAGCCCCAAAAGCCAGGGCAGTGCTGTGAAAATGGGCTGTGCAGAAACAATTCCAGCTCTAACTGCATTTCTTTCTTTTAGGTGCTCTGAGCTAGAATCATAATGAAGTTTAACTATTCACAGCCCCAGAGCTCTACCTACCCCGGGCCCCTCCGGCACTCCAGCATCCTGTCTGTCCCAGCCATAGTGATAATGGGGAGCCTGGTGCTTGCACACTGGGTCCTTCTGGTGAGCCCCTTCTCCCTCCTTGTCCGCAGGCTGCCCTTCTGCCAGCGCTGCCTCATCTCCCACTCATACTGCGAGCACATGGCCGTGGTGAAGCTGGTTTGTGGGGACGCTACAGTCAGTGTCATTTACGGCCTGTTTGTGGCTTTTATGGTGGTGGGGTTTGACGTGTTTATCATCTCCGTGTCCTATGCTATAATCCCCCAGGCTGTACTGAGGCTCCTGTGCACAGACACCCATCTCAAGTTCTTCAGCACCTACATGTCTCACTTCTGTGTCATCCTGGAATATTACATCCCTGCCTTCTTCATGTTCCTCACCCACCGCTTTGGCCACAATGTCCCGCACCATGTCCACATCCGGGTGGGCAATCTCTACCTGCTGACGCCCCCTGTGCTAAACACTGTTGTTGATGGGATGAAAACCAAACTGATCCGTGAGAGGGTGCTCTATATCTTCCAGCAGAAAGTAATCTGGGCAGTGTGTGCCTGTCTAATTTAATCTAGGAGTATAAAACATTCATCACCCTGGCCTCAGACTCATTCATGATCTGCCATCACTCACACTGGTATGTGAGCATAGAGATGTCACCATGGACTCCGGTGGGCTCCACCTTCCCTTCCTGCCCAAGGAAGTATCTCGTCAGATCACCTCAGTGGTAGCTCCAAGGACAAATGTGAGAGGGAAACCTCTTCCCTCAGCTCCCATGATACCCTCAGCCTGGGCGCTGGATGGCTCATTGGTGGGGGTCTCCGTGGATCTCTATCAACCATCACTCTCAATAATTTATAACAGCTTTTAGTAACAGTTTGTTGTACAACAAAAATAATGTGAAGAAATCAGGTGTGCATAGCTGGATCTCAAACAACTGTGTCTTCTAAATATACCCCAAAGTGCAAGGCTCAGGTGGAAATTGGCTGGTTTCTGGTGGCTTCTGAAACATAGAACATATTGATCACTATCACAGGGCCCACAAACTATTCAAAGGTATGATACTGTAATCCTATACACAACAGTAATTAATGTTTGGTATCCATTTGACAGCTGTATCGCACCACACAAAAAACAATCTCTCCCCCGAATAGATCACAGTTTAATTCACACACAATCCCCTGAAACACATGGCAACACTATGGCGGGAAATGGATTACAAGTTACGCGCAGCCCTACTTGTTGGAGGAATGGGCCCAAGATACACAGACACATACTAGGCCCATGGGGCCGAGAGACTCAGACACAGGCCTGGCCCCTGTGAAGGGAACAGGGCCAAAAGACACAAACACACACCTGGCTCCTGTGAGGGGAATGGAACAGAGAGACGCAGACACATGCCCAGTGCCTGTGAGGGGATTGGGGCTGAGAGACACAGACAGAAACCCAGCCCTGTGAGGGTATTGGGGCAGAGAGGTGCAGACACACACCCGGCCTGTGTGAGGGGAATTCGGCCAAAGGACAAAGACACACACCTGGCCCCTGTGAGGGGCACAGAGCAAAGAGATGCAGACACATGCCCAGCTCCCGTGAGGCAAATGGGTCCTAGAGACGCAGACACACAACCAGCCCCTGTAAGGGGAATTGGGCAGAGAGACACAGACACACGCCCAGCTCCTGTGAGGGAAATGGAGCAAAGAGACACAGACACACACCCAGCATCTGTGAGGGGAACGGGCCCAGAGAAGTGACCAAACACCTGGCCCCTGTGAGGGGAACAGAGCCGAGAGATGAAGACACCCACCCGGCTCCTGTGAGTGGAATGGGGCCGAGAGACACAGACATACCCCTGGCCGCTGTCAGGGGATTGGGGCAGAGAGACATAGACACACGCCCAGCCCCTTGAGAGGAACGGGGCAGAGAGATGCAGACTCACGCCCAGCTCCTGTAAAGAGAGCGGCAAAGAGATGCAGACACACACCTGGCGCCTCTCAGTGGAACGGGGCCAAGAGACGCAGACACACACCTTGCGCCTCTCAGTGGAACGGGGCTGAGAGACACAGACACATGCCTGGCCCCCTGTGAAGGGATTGGTGCTGAGGGAGGCAGACACTCGCTCGGTCCCTGTGAGCGGAATGGGCGCCAGAGATGCAGTCACATGGATGGCCCCTTCCAGCCCCCTAGGAGCAGCAATGGAGTGCCAGACACACTAACAGTGCTGAATGCAGACGGAGGAGCTGGGACAGTCACCAGCAGGCGCCTGGCTCCTAGCAGGGAGGTGGGGCTGAGAGGTGAACGCACAGCAAACATCCTTAAGAGAGGATGGTGGAGAGGAGAGGAGACGGGCATGGCCTGTCACTAGTAGTGGACCCTGTAATGCAATGCAAAAGTGTACAACTCTGTTGAGCCACTCAGCGTCCTCCAGGAAACCCCGTTGTTGCAAGCCCCATTCTTCTCTGTGCACAGTTCATGGAGACTCCCCCCATCCCATCCCAATGGGCAGTCATTTAGGCCTCTGCAGGTAAATCTCACCCTCAGAGATGATCCAATAAACTTCTTTCACAGACTAGACTCCTTTCTAGTCTTGGCCCAATCCTTTCCCCTGCTACAGTCCTTGTTCCAGCTCAGGTGGTAGCTAGGGGATTTCTCATGACTGCAGACTCCCTTGTTATGTTCCACCCCCTTATATAGCCTAAGCACAAGGCAGGAATCTTTTGTCTCTTTGGGTCCCCACCCCTCCTCCTAAATGGAAAAGCACCAGGTTTAAGATGGATTCCAGTACCAGGTGACATGGTCACATGTCCTGTGAGACCCCCAAGCCTTCATTCTTCCTGGCCTGACTCACAGGAAGCCTTGCAAGTAAACAGAGCCATCTACTGTCAATTGTCCTAGTTGTTGGGAGCCACCAAAATTCCAAACCAGCATTAATGGCCCACACTTTGCATAACTACAGTAGGACCTCAGAGTTATATTTCATATTTCTAGTTTCAGATAGAAGAATGATACATACATACAAATAGGATGAACACACTCAGTAGATTATAAGCTTTGTAATGATCCCTTACAAGAGACCTTTTGCATGAAGCATATTCCAGTTATATTATATTCACACTCATTAGCATATTTTCATAAAATTGTATGGAGTGCAATGTCACAGCCTCCGCCAAGGCCCAGTCATAGTCGTCTTCCCAAAGCTCTTTGCTGTAGTGAGAACCCCTCCTACTCTTTCCCAGGCCTCTCCGAGTACTCACAGGCAGGGGGTCAGACGAGATAGTCAGAGAGGTTCCTTTTGGCCTGGGAACATGTAAAAGGTTCTGAGAGGGAGAAAAGGGCAGATGGCTGGGTGTGGGAGGGCATGTGGTCAGGTGGATAGAGGTAGTCGGCAGGGTGTGAGAGGATGTGTGGCAGGGGGGAGAGGCAACCAGCAGGGTGTGAGAGGGTGCATCAGGGAGAGATGCAGCCATCTGGGTATGAGTTTGCCATGTGGTAGATTGGGGGCCTGGCTTTGTGTTTAAGGCTTGGACCGGGGCTCAGATCTGGGTTCACAGGCTCAGGATGGGGTCCACTTTAGTCTAATCTCCTCTGTCTGACAATGACCAGATCAGGTTCAAGACACTATGCATGGGACAGCTGAGGGTAACCTGCCTCCAGCGGACCTTTTCTCGTCACCCCCAATGAGGAGAGGTTGGCCGGTGCCCTGAAGCAATTGTTGGCTGTCTTAAACTCCCTGTGTGATGTTGGGCAAGTCCTTCGGCTCCCTCGGCCTCATCCCAAACCTGTGATGTGGGGTGACCACAACCCTGCCTTGCCCATGGTTGCTCCGCCTTGTCTGTTTGGATTGAAGCCCAAGGGGCAGGGATGGTCTCTTGCTATATGTCACACAGCAACTCGCACAACGAGGCTCTGATCTCGCTGGGCGGGGTGGAAATGGCCAGTGAAAACAATGCTCTAGAGCAGTGCAAAGTCAAAGCCGTGTTTGACCCAGACAAGCGTGTTTATTAGCCCTGTTGCTCAGGAAGGCTGAGTTGGGGTTCTATAGCCGGGGGTGACTGAGCCGTCTCGATGCCAGGCCTTGCTGGCCCTGACGTTGCCTGCACTGACCTTGCTCCCCAGCTGCTGACCCATCCTGTGGGCCTTCAGTCTATTTTGATGCCCAAAATGTGGAGCGCCGTCCGCCGGATCCCCGGGGTTCTCACTCCGTAGATGATGGGGTTCATCATGGGAGGGAAGAGCAGGTAAATGTTGGCGATGAGGATGTGAACGTGGGGAGCCATGTGACCAAAGCGGTGGGAGAAGTAGGTGAAGGTCGCTGGGGTGTAAAAAACCAGCATGGTGATGACGTGGGCACTGCAGGTGCTGAGGGACTTGTGCCGCGCCTCCTTGGTGGGGAGTCTGAAGACGGCCCGGAGGATCAGGATGTAGGACAGGACAATGAGGATAAAATCTAATCCCCCGGTGAAAACCGATACAGCCAGACTATAGGCACTCATGACCGTCGTGTCCTCACAGGCCAGTTTCACCAATGCCATGAACTCACAATAGGTGTGAGATATGACATGGGTCCTGCAGTAAGGGAGCTGTTTCAGCAGAAATGGGTGTGGGCCCAGAAAAATGGCCCCCCTCATCACAATGACCAGCCCTATCTTGGCTACAGCCCGATTGGTGAGGATGGCCGAGTGTCGCAGCGGGTTACAGACAGCGACATAGCGATCAAAAGCCATGGCCAACATAAACCCGGACTCCATGCAAGTAACTGAGTGAATCAAAAAAATCTGGGCCAGGCAAGCATTGGTGTGAATAGCCCGGTCCCTGAACCAGAATATGCAGAGGGTTTTGGGCAGGGTTGTGGTGGATACGACCAGGTCGGCGAGCGCCAGCATGCAAAGGAAAAGGTACATGGGCTCATGGAGGCTCGGCTCAGTCTTGATAACAGCCAGGAGGAGGCCGTTCCCCAGGAGGGACAGAATGTAGACAGAGCAGAAGGGGATGGAGATCCAGACATGCGCTGCCTCCAGCCCCGGGATGCCAAGGAGGATGAAGGTGGAAGGGTGGGGTGTGGTCCAGTTGGAAGCTGCCATGGTGGGGCCAGTTGGGTGTGTTCAGTTCCACAGCACGGCTGCTTCCTGCCCCTGTAACTAACCATTAAAACAATCATTAACTGTCTGATAGGTACATGACAAGGCGACGTTTTCTGAGCATTAGTTCTTCACCTGTCCTGTGCTAATGCCACACAAAGTGTGACTAACAAATAACCTATTCCCAGCTCCTGCACTGCAGCCATTCCACCCTCATTACAGAGGTTTTTAGCAGCAAGTGATTTTTTAGAGCTATGATTTTATAATCTTCAGCAACACAATAATGAAATATTTTAAAACAAATTTTAAACTAAGGTCCTGTAGACTAACATGTTCTGAGTAAATACAACAGTGATGCACAACTGGTTTTGTCAGTACATTCAGAAACTGACAGTCTATACCTGGGGGTTGGCAAATGCCTGTTAAATGGCTTCATTACCACTTGAATGGCTCTTTAACAGTTTCAACAGCCTGGAGGAAGGCTCACCAGGCTGC